CGGGTGCTTGCGTCTAGAAGCTTGCTCTGCTTTGCTTGGGACATTTGGCCAAAACCCATGTGACATACAATTCCCATGTTCGGCTCGGGTTTGGGGTTGCTGACGCTGGCAGACCTGGCCCCAAACACGAAACTGGTTAGAATCGCAACATCCGCGATAAAGCCAATACCATGATTTCCGGTGGCCTTGAAACGGCAAGCTGTGGCCATCACGATCAAACCGTCCAGCGACAAGAGCATTGGGACGCACGGGGGCGGGAAAAACATCACACCGTTTTCCTTGATCGACTCGGAAAACAAGGTCAGCCTAGACTGAACCGTCATGACTCTCGCGGCCGAGCCTCCAAATCTTGCACGCCTCTCGCCCTGCGTGATCCAGAAAGTGCGAGGAGAAGAGGGAGAGCGAGACAGCAGCAGATGGGACCACGACGGAGGAGACGGAATAATAATAATAATAAGCACAATATGAAGAATAATAATAATAAGCATAATACTAAGAATAATGATACTCGGCATTGCGCTGCATGTCTGTCGCCTCTCATGCCTGCTGCTGCCGATGATGCGCCCTCGCAGCACAGCACATCTGACACCTCGATACGCTCGAAACAGCAAAGCTCGAGGCCAAGGTGAAGCGCACCGTGCAGCCCTGACGGAGGAGGAGGAGGAGGAGGAGGAGGAGGAGCAAGAGGAGGGGGCTCCTCTCCAAATTTCCTCAGGCTGTCAACCCCCCACTTGTCGCCTCTGTCTGAGGTGAAGGACCTAGGGGCCAAGGTTTGCCGTGCTCTCGAGCTCCGCCAGTTTCGCCTACTTCAGGGCAGTAACCCCAAGTGCGTTTCCTTTCAGGATTTCGCTCGCCATAGACAGTAACTTCAGTCAGTCTCTGCTTACCCACCCCGAGGGAAGGGCCCTGTTGCCAAGGTTTAGTGCACTTGTGCACTGCTGTGTACACCCACGTTAAAAGGTATTAACTTCAGGGTGCTGGCCTTCTTGCCAGCTCGCTTTTGTAGTTCCTCGGAGGCTCTCCTTTCCCTTCCCCATTCCGTCTCCAGGCGACGATGAGAATTCAAACAGGTGTGCCGCCAGGGTAGCTTGCCGAGGACGGTGCACTTGTTCTCTGCCTGCATGTCTCTGTCATTATCCCGGTTCTTCTCCATCTCCAGAGCACGAGCGTCATGACTCTGCCCTTATGGTAGGAATGGATGAATGAATGAATGAATGAATGAATGAATGAATGAATGAATGAATGAATGAATGAATGAATGAATAACTGAATGAGGAGGAGGAGGAGGAGGAGGAGGAGGAGGCGGCTTTTTTCTTTGTGGAAAGCTGCCCCCGCGGCCATCCGCCCCAGTGCAGCTCGAAGGATCCGCCTCCGCGCGAGCCTCGCCCGCCTCCCGTGCAGCAGAACCCGCTGCCGCGCGGTGGCTGGGAGGCCCGCCTCCCCGGCGGCAGGGGCCGCCGCGTCCTCCGTCACGCGGCCGCTCGCGACCGTCCACCTCGGAGCCGCCGGCCGAAGCACGGCCTCGCCGGTCAAGCACAGCGGAGGCCCGACCACAGAAAGTACCCTCCGCAAGAAACCCGACCGCGAGACCCCAGGGCGTCCCCGTGGCTTTTCGGGGCGGGAGAGGCCACGCTGCCCAATTCGCAGGATCATCGACGCCCAGGGAGCCCAGGGCACCCTGGAGGCAAGCAGGGTGCTCCTTGGCATGGGTCTCCACTGCACGAGTTCACGACGAGGCCTGCGGTGCGGCGGCCGAGTCCGCACGCGCCAGCGCCTGGCCCGGCCGGGCCCACCAGTCGGAGCCCTCGCCCGTGGGATGCTCGAGACGCCCGGGGGACCAGCCCCGCACCACGGACTCGCGGTCGGAGACGAAGGCCATGCCACCGGCCGTGCACCGCGCTGCGAGCAAGAGCGCGCCCAGTTCGCTCTGAGCCGTCACCCGCCCTGCCAAGGGCCCTCGGACAGTGGCACTCGGGTCCACGCGAGGCTCGAGCGCGCAGAAGGCAGGGATGGCCATTCCGACTCGTCGGAAAGAGGGGCTGCTGGTGTGCTCGTCCCCGCTGGCATCGCCGAAGGCAAGCAACGGTTCGGCGACAGCGCCTCCACCAGCCAAACGCCCGCGTCGAACTCGGACTGCACAAAGGACTGGTGGACTAGCTCGGCTGAGGCGCCGTATACAGGGCTACTCACGTTAGAGTCACACTCGCAGTACCATGGAATGAAAGCCTCGGGATTCTTACCACAACGAGTGCAGATGTCGGCCCCGCATACGTTGTGAATCTTCAGAATATACGACTGCCTCGTGGCCAAACGCCACCAACTGCACATGCCACCATGACCTCACTGAGACGATCAACATCACTGGTGCTGCAAGCAACTGTTGATTAAGTAGTCGGTCTGAGAATCAATCAACAGCCTGCTCAAGACCCGATCACAATGATAGCGGCTCGCGGCAGTCCACAACTGTTGTCGTAGAGTGTCGGCGAAGTCTGACCATACGCATGTTTGTGCGAATCCAGAGTAGCGATGCACGAACACATTTGATCGTCACATCTCCAAATATCGCCTGCAGCAGGGTGCGGGGAGGGGATTGTCCATGCCGTCGCCTCATCCACTCTCCAGGATTACCTCCGTCAAATGGAGGACGGCCGCCGAGAAGAAAACGAACGTGGCGAGACTTCTGGTTGGCAGGTGTGCTCCGCACGAATGGCCACATTGCGCCATGCCTGTCGGACACCGCTGCCAAGACCTCGATGCTCCTGACATGTGCGAAGCCAGATGTCTAGTCGCTCGGCGGGAAGCTTGATGGCGGGGCCGAGGTCTCCAGCACACCATGCCGAGGGAGTCCTCGGGGTCCTCCGGACGCCTCCGCGTCGTCGTCGTCGGCCTTGTCGTCGTCGTCCTCGCGGTCCTCGTCCTCGTCCTCGTCGCTTATCGTCGACGTTGTCATGTCGCCGTCGGCGCGGGGCTGGCGGAGGATCGAGCTCGAGGTTGATTGGAGCTTGTGGCCTCAGGAGGCCTCGGGGTCCTCTTCGAAGGCCTCCGCGAGGGCGTCCGCGAAGGCCTCCAGACCTCCGACGTCCATCCTCTGCCCTCGGCCAAATGCGACGACGAGGGCGAACAGGACGACGAGGATGATGAGGAGGGTAAGGACGACGAACGAACGAACCAAAGAGCGGCCGAACGAACGAACGACCGGACGAACGAACGAACGAACGACGACGACGACGACGACAACGAACGACGACGACAACGAACGACGACGACGACGAACGACGACGACGACGACGACGACGACGACGACGACGACGACGACGACGACGGAGGCGTCGGCGGCGGCGACGGCCGCGGAGGGCCGCTGCTCCGCGGGGCCTCTGCCAAGCTGGCCTCCGGCAGCCCGAACGCCCTGCACTCCTCCACGGTGGCCCTGGCGGCGGTCGCCCGACGGCGGCGCGCTGGCGCCAGTCGTCGTTCGAAGTCACCGCCGCCGCCGTCGCCGTCGCCGCCGCCACCGCCGTCGCCGTCGCCGTCGCCGCCGTCGCCGCCGCGGCGGTCGCCGCCGCCGCCGCTGCCCGCCGCCGCCGCCGCCGCCGCCGTGTCGTCGTTCGTCGCCGCCGCCCCCCCCCCCCCCCCCCCCCGCTGCCGCCTCCGCCGCCGCCGCCGCCGCCGTCGTCGTCGTGGTCGCGGTGGTCGTCGTCGTCGGCGGCGGCGGCGACGGCGTCGCCGTCGTGGTCGGCGTGGTCATGCTTTTTCGGGCAATGACGGAGCTGTGGGGGCCTCCACAGTTTGACCTGCGGGCCCGTCGAGGTTCGACGTCGGCCTCACTCCCCCCCCCCCTCCTTCCCCCTTCCCTCCTCCCCTCCATCTACGCCTCTCTCCTCCGCTTCCTCCTCCTTCCTCCTCCAGCTCCTCCTCCTCCTCCTGCCCACATCCTCAGCCCTCCTTCTCCTCATCCTTGCCCTCCTCCTCCTTCCTCCTCCTTCTCCCACTCCTCCCCCTCCTCCTCCGTTACCTCCGCCGTTTCCATCTCCTCCTCCTTTTCCTCCTCATCCTCCTGAGGGGATCGTCCATCCATGCTGCTAGTAAGCCATTAAGGAAAACGTTCGCGGCGTCAGAACCAGAGCGTGAGAATGAGAAGGAGACCCCCTTCGCCCATGTAGTTGCGAGTATGCCAAGGTCTTCGATCGTGGAGAAGCCGCCCTCCATGCGTGCAGAGCTGCGAGTAGATTCGAGCTCCAGGCGCAGATATTCCGTAGGAGCGCCTTCCATCTGAGCAGAGGCTTAGGCCTCCAATTTGCATGCAGGAGCTATAAGGAGCGAGAGGTCGAACTCGATATAAGGAATGGCATCCCGTGTCTGCATATGTGAGAAGCTTCCAGCTGTATTGCCCTCAAGTGCAAGGCTGTCTCTGGCGAGATCCCACGATGGAAAACTGACCGCCCTGCATCCCTACTCCTGCTATGGGCGTTTGGTACGAATGAGCACGGTGCTCAGGCGAGAGACATAGTTTAGAAACGAAATGCCATCTACCTGAGCACCTCGTGTGAAAATAGATGTCACATGCCTGCGGCGTCTGGGCAATCTGTAGCCTAAGCAAACTGGAGCTGGCTTCTAGCCGTGCAGCTGCTGGAAAGATGTAATGCGAAGGCGCGTGGACCGAAAGCGAGAACACACACATTGGTAGCGAGCCGCCCCCGTCCTTGTTGGGAAATGTTGACATGCACTTGCGCGACGTGGGTTCGATACCCACACTCTCAATGCGGGCAACCACCCATCCATATAGCCTTTTCAACTGTCGGGTCGCCGATAGTGGGTATCAAGCGAGACGCCGGGACCGCTTTCCTGGGGAAAACAAGAGGCACTGATACCGCTACTTCCCAGACCCCTCCCAAGATGCGCTCCGACCAGGACCCCGAGGCGAATCCAGCGGTGGCGACGAGGGCCTCCCAGGACACCCAAACAGGGGAGAACGAGGAAAGGGTAGCGGTATGGGTATCTTTTTCCTCCTCTCTGATGTACCGACTTACCGCTGATTTCTCACAGAAAGAGGGCGACGAATGGTCCTTGCCTTGCTCCTGCGCGCGCGTGGCTGGAAGCAGAGGCGGTGCGCGAGAGGAGGGCGCGCGGGAAGCGTGTCCCCCCTCACTCTTGTCCGCACTTGCCGGGGGGTGGGGGTACGGTCGACTCTTACAATGAGGACGCACGACACGGACGCAAAGGCCTGGGAGGGCCATGTCGACACTTTGAGCGCGGGGCGCGGCCAGCGAAAGCGGCCATGGACAGAAAGATGCAAGGGTAACCTTGGAACGTCGCTAATCCTTACTGCGGGTTGACTGCACGTGCGGAAGAGGAAGGAGCTAGGAGGACTGAAAAGTACGTGCGGCCTGCGTGCAAGAGCCATCCAGAACAACCAAGAGTGGCGGGAGAGGACGATGAGGATGAGGGGGAAAGAAAGAGCGGGGCGAGGGG